TAACTTACTCTTGCCATGCTCAAATAGTATAAACATTTTTGTACTCAAATATAAACCTATCTGTAACCACATACTGTGGAAAAGTTTTTTCTGGTGGTGGAGCCATGTAAGTCAAGTATTCTAGAACTTAGCTACGTCTTCAACACATTTGCCAACTGTAAACCACAATTAACCTGAAATACATTTCATTGCTAATGTGAGTTGTAAAATAATTATTTCAAGCAGGTCTGCAAATTGTTTTATTCCTATATATATTATGTATTTATAACTAACATAAATTATAATATATTAAATATTATATCATGTATTACACATATTTTATATTATATTTTAAAATTTCATTTTTTATTACAATTTATTTACTTTTTATCTCAGCTGTCACCTCCTCATCCCCTCCCACTCCTGCCCTTCCTCCTTCTTCTTCCTCTATCCCCCTCCCCCAGTCTACTGATAGGGGAGGATCTCCTCCCCTTCCATCTGACACTAGCTTATCAGGTCTCATCAGGACTGGCTGCATTGTCTTCCTCTGTGGACTGGTAAGGCTGCTCCCCACTCAGGGGGTGATGATCAAAGAGCAGGCCAATCAGTTCATGTCAGAGACAGACCCTAATTCCTTTACTAGGAAACCCACTTGGAGACTGGGCTGCCATGGGCTACAGCTGTGCAGGGGTTCTAGGTTATCTCCATGCATGGTCCTTGGTTGGAGTATTAGTCTCAGAAAAGACCCCTGGGCCCAGATTTTTTTGGTTCTGTTGCTCTCCTTGTGGAGTTCCTGTCCCCTCCAGGTCTTTCTATCTCCGGCTTCTTTCATAAGATTCCCTGCACTCTGCCCAAATTTTGGCTATTAGTCTTAGCATCTGGTTTAATACCCTGCTGGGTAGAGTCTTTCAGAGTCCCTCTGTGGTAGGCTCCTGGGATCACTCATGTATACTATCATATCATCTGCAAATAGTGATACTTTGACTTCTTCCTTTCCAATTTGTATCCCATTGATCTCTTTTCACTATCATTGCTCTAGCTAGGACTTCAAGTACCATGTTGAAGAGATATGGAGAGAGTGGGCAGCCTTGCCTTGTCCCTGATTTAAGTTTCTGTTCAGTTTGGTGTTGGCTACAGGCTTGCTGAATATTGTCTTTACTATGTTTACATCTGTGCCTTGTATCCCTGACCTCCCCAAGACTTTAAACAGGAATGAGCGATGGATTTTGTCAATGCTTTTTCAGCATCTAAGGACATTATCATGCGGTTTTTTTTCTTTCAGTTTGTTTATATGGTGGATTACATTGATGGGTTTCTGTGTATTGAACCACCCCTGCATGCCTGGGATGAAGCCTACTTGGCTGTTAATATAAAATGGGTAATATATCATAATATAATTATAACATATTAATATAAATAATATATAATATAATATAATATAATATAATTCACACTATAATAGTATTATAACATAATTATATTACTTGATATAATATAATATATACTATAATTTATAAAATAATATAATATGATAGATCATATGAATTGAATATATATATAGTAGCATATAATATACATAATATAATAATATACCACAAGCCTTTTTAATAAATGACCAAATATTAAATATAATTAATATATTTCAATGTCTATGTGAAACTAGAGTTATACACTAAACCCAGAAAGAATAGGTTGAAATTCTTCTACCCAGAATAAGAAGTTGGAGGTCATAATATATTTGAAAAACAATTAAAAAAAATACTAAACATTTTATATTGGTTCATAATAACTTTTTAAAGTGCTTACTTAAAGTGTCAGCCAATAATATATTTAATTTGAAAATCTTGTGATATAAGTACAATTAGTTTTTTTTACATAGAAATGTTAATCTTTCGAGATTACTAACAATTCTCATGTCAGATTTATACTTATTTTTTCTGTTTGCCAATTTGACCATAGAATAAAAAAACTATTTGATTCATTGTATCAGACTCTGCTTCTATTTTATTTAAGTCATAAACCAATATAACATATATAATATATTCACATATATTAATTATGAAAAGAAGGGGCTAGCACTACAATTTAACAGTGGAGAACTTGTCTTGAATGTGTGAGGCAAGCCTCGGTTTGATTCTCAGCAAATACAAAAAGTGGAATTAAAAAAAATCTGTAACAATACATGTTTTATGCTAAAATGGGTCGTTCGTGTGAATACCGTGCATCATGGTTAGGAAGCACGACCAGGGGTGTTAGAGCAATTGGTGTCCTGTATAAACGGAACCACACTGTTTACCATTCAGCCCACTGAAGCTGTCTTGAAAAGCGACCATCACGAATCTTTAAATATTGACTCAAACCATCTGAGATCAAATTCTAATCAAGGACCACCCTCTGACACTGATTGTTCTGCGTTACTCCTAATGCCAAGCTTTGCACTGATTGACACTGAAAGCCCGTGCAGGGGGAAGGCTCAGTACCTCGGCTGAGTCAGTTCTTCAGGGAGCAGCATCATGATTTCCCTATTCTGCCCTGGCTGTCTTTAACACAGTTACTGCCTTCATTGTAGCAATGACAAAGGCTCTCTTTATGCCAGTTTATAGGAGGAGCCTAATCTCTGAAATGTTGGAGATAAATGATTAGAATCTATTTCTCCCTATGTAACATATAATTATGTCTTAGGTGGAGCCAGGTGTTATAAGTTGCCAGTGCTAAAATGAATTTAAAACTCTGGGTTTTAGAGCTTGAGAAGAATAAAACTTGAAGCTAAGTATATTACTTTATTTATAGAATAACAGATAAATATGTGATTTTTAACCACAAGTGTTTCTCCACTCTAGATACTGTAGTATGCTTGCTACAGATCAGCAAATTGCTAAAAGCCCTTGATTTATTTCTCTTCTGAAATCACACCTTTCCTCAGCTTTTTTAGTCACAAAAGTGATAAATCTTCATTAACAAAAATAATAATTGTGTAATAAGGTTGATATGCAATTTGCTAATTTCCTTTGCAGTTTATGTTTCAGAGAAGATCTGAAAGAAAAGACCAAGTATTTTTATACTTTAAAAATTTATGGTCTGGTTCTAATCTATTAGAATGTATCCTTCAAAGTGCTTATTTGTCGTCACCCGTTAATAATTATCAACCGTTCGGTAAAGCACTCCTCCCTCGCAGTGGACCTCCTTCATTATCAAGCAAATATCTAAGGCACACTCAGGCACATCAGTGCTGTGCACTTGCAGGGCCCCCCTCAGATAGACCACAAAATAAAACAAAGCGGCCTACTTCTGCTCGACTGCAGTCTGGATTTCAGAGCTTCCCTTTCGTCAAGGAAAGGGAAGCTTCCTGTCCCAGAACACTTCTCCCCTTTAGCCTGCAGCTTCTTCCTTCTGATAGAAAGATGGCCTCTTCCAATGCAGCCTGTTGCCTGGTGCTGTATGCGTGTCTCTGGGCACCCACATCAGAAAGGTTTAGCGTTAGGTAGTTTTTTTTTGTTTTTTTTTTTTCTTCAGCTAAACCACAGTGTAAGAGCCCAGCTGCCTATCGCAGAGCTTGCACCTGCTTCTTCTCTTCCCAGGCCCCAGACCTCTCCTTAATCTCTTGACACATTGAAAAGAAAAAGACAGCACAGTGCCAGTATGTGCATATACACTGAAAACCATTGATAACAAAGCCAGATTGCCATATGGTAGCAAGTGACTTTTTACACACACACACACACACACACACACACACACACACACACACACACACAGAGAGAGAGAGAGAGAGAGAGAGAGAGAGAAAACCCTGGTGAGTAGGAGCATCCAGAGATGCTCCTAGCAGAAGGGTCAGATGGAAATGTTTAACCTGAAGGCATATGCTGGTATTTGAAACAGAAATTATGCCAAAAAACTGATGTTTTGGAAATGGGCTTAGAAAGGTACAATCTTGTTTATTCTAAACCAGAAACTTTAGGTTTTTTTCATGAATTAACTTATTCACTTTACAGCCTGTTTATAGCCCCTTCCCTCCTCTCCTCACACCTCTCCCTCACTCCGGTTCTCCTTCTCCTCAGAGAAAGGGAGGTCCCATCCCATGGGTACCAACCCACCCTGGCACAGCAGGACTAAGTGCATCCTCTTCCACTGAGGCCAGACAAGGCAGCCCAGCCAGGGGAAAGGGATCCAAAGGCAGGCAACAGAGTCAGAGACAGGCCCTGCCCTAGTTGTTAGGGGACCCACATGAAGACCAAGTTCCACATCTGTGGCACATGTGCAGGAAGCTGTTGTCAAACAGAGTGATCATCCAATGCAGGGTACTGTCCATGCAGCTCTAAGTCAAACAGCAAGGATGTGTCTACTGGAGTTGAGGGCTCAGTTGTCACCTTCAACACAGGTGTATGTATGTTCAACATGTACATATATATATATGTTGAACATACATACACCTGTGTTTATATATATATCTAAATATATACATGTGTATACACATGTATATATTTAGATAT